GTGCTATGGCATCACAGCTCACAGCAACCTCCAACTCTTGGGCTTAAGTGATTCTCTTGCCTCAGCCTCCCGAGTAGCTGGGACTACAGGCACCCACTATAATACCTGGCTATTTTTGGTTGCCGTTGTCATTATTGTTTAGCAGGCCCAAGCTGGGCTTGAACCTGACAACTTCAGTGTATGTGACTGTGCCCTATTCACCGAGCTATGGGCGCTGAGCCAGAAAAGTCATCATGTTATCTCAACCATGTTCTCCATGATCAGAAATATGAGGGCACTCACCAAGGTCTGTAGAGACTTTCTCAAACTGGCTGAGTATAGCACCTGCATTTGCTGACAAGAAGGCCTCATCATCTGCAGTCAGCTAAACAAAGTAAAACAAAGTCCAGTTGACTGGGTTCAAAAGTTACAGGTGATTCTAGAAACCACAGTTGAAAATGTCTCAGGACCACAAACTAGACCACAGATCAAGAAATTCTGTACCAAATACTTCACATTGTTTCTTTATACTTAATATGTTAAGTTAAATACTGGTACCTTCTCTCCAAGTTTCCTGAGAGCTGTCAGTATCTCCACTTTCTGTTGAGTATACAGGTCTCTTTCCAATTTTCCTACCATCAGATCTCTATCCATCTAAAATGAATGAATGTAAGGCATATATTTCAGTGAAAAACATTCCATATGTAAAACACGGCTTCTCAGACCTACTTAAAAAAATCCTCTAGCTAATTAATATTACACAGAAGTATAAAAATAATCCACGACAAACATGATAGAAATGCTATGATGTAGTTCTAATACATTTTAATGCTAATCCTAACCATTGTCTTAGTTATAAATTCCACAGGTTAGTAGGTCAATCACATCCTTTAAAGAGGAGCTCATTTCTTTTGAAGTGACGTGCCTTAAAAAACAACAACAACAACAAAAAAAACCTCATTTCATTAAACTGAAATGTGGTCTATAGGCTCGAATGAGATAACTAATACCAGATCCCTAAACTTAGGTTGAATATCACTCTCACCACCAGAAACACTAATAGCATGTACTATAAACTGGTGCTGAGTGCTTTTACACATATTACTTCATTTAATCTTCATAACAACCATTATCACCTTCTTTCAGACAGGGAAACTGAGGCACAAAGAGGCTGAATTAAATAACTTGCCTGAGGTCACGTATCTCAGTAGAGAAGGAGGAATTTCAAATCCAGCCAGTCTGGCCCAAGTCTGTCCTATTAATCACAACACTCCTGAATTACCCAAAGTTGCAAATAATTTGTTAACCTTTACATTCACATCTATAAAGAGACTTCTGGAAGTATCAGGCTTAGAAAGATACTTGAAATTCTTGGATGAGCTAGGCTACACGTGCACAAAAAAGATGCCGCTAATAATCTTCAATGGGATATCAAGTTGGGGCTCCAGAAGTAAATGGTGAAACATTCAAGGTGGAGTCCAAGTAGAAATGGTCAGTGGCAATTTAAACTGCCACACACTGTTTAAACCTCTACATTCATTAATTGACCAAAATTGCTACTTTTGTCAGAAAAGTGTGAGTTGTGGCTCTAAAAATCAACTGACCAGTTTTCAAGCTGTAAAATGCCATAATGAGCAAATTCTTGGGCTAGGAAAAGAAATACACACAACCAGATCAATTTAAAGAGACTTTACCTCTGCTAACCTTGTCCGGAGCTGACCTGGCTGTTTCTTTGCAAACAATCTGATGACCTCTGGGGTTTTAAAGGCCTGGCTGATAGCTGCCTGAATAGCCTAGAAACACAAGCAGGCAAAAACTAACCAAAACGTTCCAACAAATCAGATATGGCGATATTTGACTGAGGGGTCTTTAATTGTTCACCAAACACTGTTACAATTTCAGTTTTTATTTGCCATTTCTGTGCATGTCACTGAAGCCAAATAAATAACTAAATGAAGATCCAGAAGGATATGCTGTTTTATTTAGAAGTAGACACTCCCTTGGAAGTTACATCCAAAAAAGGGGTAAACTTTCTATCTGAAATATACTTACAAAAGAAGAACCAAACTGTCACTGATATAAATAAATTATGCTTACCAACTGCATTCCACTTAGTTCATCTACCAAAGTCATATTTCCAGACATAATTTTCTTTAGTGAATCATTAAATTCACTTAGTTGCTCCAGAGTTTCCTTTTTGGTTTCTTCATATTCATCCATGTCAAGTTCTTCTCTGAAGTACAGTGAATAATATAATATAGAAATAGAGTTCCAAATGAAAAAAACAATCTTAGTACTTCTATAAAAAAAAAAAACGCTGAAGGGAAATACCAAAATGCTAATGATGATTGTGGTCCAGTAGTAGTATGGGCATTTTCCTGATATATGGTTACCCTGATAATTAAACAATTTTCTTTTACCAAATGGCTTTATTTTACAACCCACATAATAACCTCCCTTTAGTTTAAGCAATCATTGGTATATACTCAGCAAGATACTGGGCATAGCCAACACTCAGTTTCTTTATCTATAAAGCTTTGGACAGTGATAACACCTACCTAATAGGGTTGGTATGAGCATTCAGTGAGGTACGGAAAGTGCTTAGCATATAATAGGTAACTGACAAATAGTTGTTATTATTAGCAGCAGTATCATTAATAGTAGAAAAATTTCATGTACTTTGCAGTACAACAACAGAATATTTGTCATCTGAGTCAAAGGTTATTTTTATTCACTAAAAAAGCCATTTATGGGCAGCGCCTATGGCTCAGTGAGTAGGGCGCCAGCCCCATATACTGAGGATGGCAGGTTCAAACCTGGACCCAGCCAAATAGCAACAACAACAAAAATAGCCCGGGCACTGTGGTGGGCGCCTGTAGTCCCAGCTACTTGGGAGGCTAAAGCAAGAGGATCACCTAAGCCCAAGAGCTGGAAGTTGCTGTGTACTGTGACGCCACAGCATTCTACTGAGGGTGACAGAGACTTTGTCTCAAAAAAAAAAAAGCCATTTATTAGACATTGACTACAAATAACAACAGCTATCTATCACTAAAGACCTACTCTCAAACCTTGTAATGGGCTCGGCGCCTGTGGCTCAAGCGGCTAAGGCGCCAGCCACATACACCTAAGGTGGCGGGTTCGAATCCCCAGCCT